GAAGTGTAGAGGACAGAGACTGGCTCTTCCCAGTGGTCCAGAGGCAGGACCAGAGGCCATGGGCACAAAATAGAATGCAGGAGGGTCCCTCTGCATGTCAGGAAACACTTTTGCCTGGCCCAAGTTGCCCAGGAAGGTGTGCAGTTTCCATCCTTGGATATTCACAAAAGCCACAGGGCGACTGTCCTGGGCCCCTGGCTCTGAGTGACCTTGCCTGAACAGATGATGGGACAAGAGAGACCCCAATCCAAAACCCCATGACCTGTGTCTGGGATGTGCCCATGCATGGGTGTCTATGTGCAGCTGCGGTGGGGGGAAGAGGGGGGGTAGTAGGGATTTGAGGTAGGTGTGTGCAGGTGTACATGATAGTTTGCACATGCGTGTGCCTCAGATATGTGTGTGTGCAGTGTGTGCATACAGCTGGGTGTACATGTAGATCAGCATGCATGCACACACTATTGCATGTGTGACTGGGGTGCTGGTTGTATCCCTGTGCACTACTGTGTAGGCTGGTATGTGTGACTATAGTTGTGTGGCTGGGAGCAAGTGGAAGGCGGGTAGCAGTGTGTGTGTATCCATGTGCTGTTGTGCATACTGCGTTTAAATGTATGCAGGGCTGCGTGCACACAACTGTGCATGTGTATGTGTGTGTGCAGCTGTATATGCAGGATGGTGTGTTGTGTGTGCTGCTATGAGTGAATGCACACACCCTGACTTGAGTGTCTCTGCGTATCTTTGTACTATGTGGTGTCACTGTGCATGCTGTGGATGTGTGCAGTGCTGGTGTCATGGGGGTGTGTGCGGTACAGGTGTGTGAGAGATAGTGTGTGTGGTGTTGGGGTGTGTGGTGTTGTTGGGCTGTGTTGGTCTGTGCACGTGGTGTGTGGTGTTGGGTGTGTGTGTTGGTGTGCGCAGGGTTGGTGGGAGTGGTGTGTGTTGCTGTGTGCTGTTGGTATGTATGTGCTGGCATGTGGTGGTGTTGTGTGTGTTGCTGCTGCTGCTGTGTGTTGTTTCTGCGTTGTTCTGTGCTTGGGGTGTGTGTGTGTGTTCTGTGTGTATGTGGCAGTTCTTGGCAACAAGGTACCTTGCAAGCCTTGCCCAGATAGAAATCAAGCTCGCAAGGCACCTTTCAAGACAGCAGAGGAAGAGATCAAGAAGTACGGACGAGATAATCCCATAGAGTATTTATTTCTTCTACGAAGGGGGTCCAGTCCAGCAAATCCAATGCGTGGGGGTTCAAAGGGGTCTTTTTATAGGGTTTAAGGGTTTTGTATTTTGCACCAATTACAAAGGGAATTCTATAACTAAACAATCTACAAAGAACTTTAGGAGAAAAAGGGACCAATTATCTAAGAGGAAAATGGACCACTAAAATCACAGAAAGATAACACAGGGGTCTACAGGGGGAGCAAGATGCTTCTTGGTATTGTTATGAATGATGTTCTATTTTTTCCAATTTATCAAGCAACAAGATTAAATTTAATAGTAAGTTTTTAATAGTAACAAAATGAATACAATCAAAGTATTGGAGATGACAAAGTATTGGAGATGAAACAATCAAAGTGCATATATTTAAGAATATACAAAATTTGGCAGTAAGTAATTCAGTATAATTGAGGTTCGTATAAAGCATAAGCAAAACCGACCGGGGAGGGGCCCCCCTCCGACCGGGGATACGGGGAGTGGCTCGCCATTCCTCACGTATCAAAGTATCCAGGCTAACAATCCCACTTATATACTGTAGGCTACAGAAGTTTCTAGAAAGTTCCTCCTAGTTTTTATTTCTAAAAACTACGTAACTATATTGCATGGCGCATGCTCTACTAATGGGTTAGGGGGTCTCTCATCCTTTTGAGGGTCTTATTTCCGATGAAGGCTCATCGTCTTCATCAGTGACTGAGGTGTGACCTGCAGGTAGCGCAGGCGCCCTGTGTGACTGAGCAGATGTTTTCCATAACAAGACTTTAATTGAGTCCCATGCTTGGAATCATCCCATTTTGGCCCATTTCAAGGTCAAAACTTTCTAGATGCTGTTTGTCAGACCTACGTCCTTCTACTATTTTTGTTTGACTTTCTTCCAACCTCCTTCTTCGACTCCCAACATCTGGAAGATGTCCTTTGCCCTGTCTCACCCATCTCCCTCCTCACTCTGTAACAATTGTCTTCTATTGATTTAAATACAATTTTGTTAATATAGTTACAACTTAATTAGCACGAATCACATTTATCACAGTATTAGTCACTATAAGCAAACAATTTCTTATCTTAAGGTATTGTTTTCCATGAGGCCTTCTCTAGGGATTCAGAGATGGTCTCTGCTTCAGAAATGGTCTCTGCTCCCTCCACAGGTGGTGCTGTTGGTGTGTGTGGTGCCGGTTGGTGCACGGTGTGTGTGATGGTGCTGTTGGTGGTGCTGTTGGTGTGTGGTGCCGGTTGGTGCACGGTGTGTGTATGATGGTGCTGTTGGTGGTGCTGTTGGTGTGTGTGGTGCCGATTGGTGCACGGTGTGTGATGGTGCTCTTGGTGGTGCTGTTGGTCTGTGTAGTGCCGGTTGGCGCACGGTTCGCGCCCGCGGAACTTACGCGCCACTCACACGGCGAGCACGTCCGTGGACGTGATTGCGCGCGTCCGTGCCTAAGCGCATGCGCACGCACGTGTTCGTGCGAGTGACTCGGTGCGCATGCGCGTTGCCGTGCGCGTGCCCGAGTCGTGCCGGACGTGGCAGCGGCGGGGGCGATGCGGGCGTTGTCGTCGTGGCCGTGTCCAGGGCCGTGGCTGTGGCTGTGGCTTCTGCTTACGGCGGTGCCAGCGGCGGGCGGCGGCTGGGAGCACCCGCGGCTCAGCGAGGCCGTGCTGCGGGACCTAGCCCGCGGCAAGGTGGAGGTGAGCGCAGGCGAGGGTCGCGGGGCACGCCGGGGGTCACCTAATGCCCACCGGGTGCCTGACGGGGTGTCCACTCTCGCAGACTTGCGGCGGGTGACGGCTGAACCGCCTCAGGGAGGTACGTACCGGGGCCGGGCTGGGGCGGGGAGCTGGGGCTTCCCAACGCTGAGCCGGGCCCGGCCGGCCACTCTCCGCAGGTGAAGGCGTTCGTCACCCAGGACATCCCGCTCTAGTACCCACCGGCGGCGGCTGCAGCGCTGGGGTCCGGATGGGATGGGATGGGATGGGATGGGATGGGATGGGATGGGATGGGGTTTTGTGAGGTATGAAGGACAGGGTTTGGTGAGGAGTGGAGGACGGGTGGTTGGGGCATGTGATGGAGAATTGGATGGTATTACGTGGGAAACAGGATGGGATGGAGGACGGAACAGATGGGATGGAAGGGAATAGGAGGATATGAGAAGATGGGCTGGGATAGAGGATGGTACAGTTTAGACAGGAATGGAATATGACAGAGGATAGAAGGGGATGTGATGAAGGATGGAATGGGATAAGGGTTGCATGGGCCTGACCAGTGCTGCCCACTCCTTGACACATTGCCCAGCCATAACCTGGAGATGAAACACCTGCCTGGTGCCGACCCTGAGCTTGTGCTCCTCAGCCACCGGTATAAAGAGCTAGAGGTGAGTGGGCAGTGTGGCACCTGCTGCCACAGGGCCTGGGGTGGTCAGTGCCCCACAGGTGCCAGGCTACAGCCCCTCTCTGGGTGCAGAGAATTCCCCTGAGCGACATGACCCGGGAAGAGATCAACCAGCTGGTGCAGGATTTGGGCTTCTACCGCAAGGAGACACCTGATGCCCCTGTGCCAGAGGAGTTCCAGTTTGCCCCTGCCAAGCCTCTGCCAATACTGCTGCACCCCCAGGCACCCACCGCTGATGGCAAGACCCCACCCAAACGTGACAAGGAAGAACACCCAGACCTCTAGCAAGGAATGTCACACTTGGGATAGGGTCCTGCAGCCAGTCCCCAGTGTAGGGAATGAGGATGTTATGGCAGCTGGGGATGGTGTCACAGGGTGGCAAAGGTTTTTCCCCTCCACTCTTGCTTGGCACTGTGTAGCCTCTGCCCAAGGATACCCTAGGCAGATCCAGCCTCAAGCAGGAGCTTCCTGGGCACTTGTGGGCATTCCAAGGGTCCTGTGTGCTGGTTGATGCCCACCTGTCCTTGGAGCCCATTATCCGTGGCCAGCTGAGAGGAACAGCATTCCTTGCAGTCCCTTGCTGTGCCCAGAGATTTAGCTGCTCCGAGCACTAGGCAGCAGTATCCTGCCTGCATGGGACAGAATGAAACCCTCAGCAGAAAGTGCCAGGTGCTAAGGGTAGATGTGCTGAGTCCCAGTAGTGGGAGAGCTGCCCCAAGAAGGGGCTTTATCCCCCAGCAGGGTTATGTTATATCCAGCTCCTAGTAAAGCTCTTATTTGCAGTCATCTACATTGTGTAATCTTTTCAGAGAGAGCTCAGTGGTGTGCGTCCCACACTGCTCTGTTCCAAGGACAGCTGGGTGCCCCAGAGCTTCTCACAGAGGCAGGAGAGGATGGCACAGTCAGTCACTGCTGGTGAGCTACAAACCAGCCTACGGACCAACTGTGCTGTTCCTGTGCCACCCCTCCCCATCATGACAGAAGGGTGAGGTGGTAGGCACTATGGCATGGGATGAGCTGCTCTCACAGAGTGGAGGGGGATGGGCATGAGCCCATGAGCGAGTCCTGCAGTGTTGAACCAAAGCCCCATGACTGTACTTGCCCAGTGGTGACATCTGGCCCTTAGCTAGGGAAGGAAGTGGGGCACAGCTGCACTTGACCACAGCCTTGCTGGCCATGTGGGATCTTTTCCCTGTGCCAGGCTTGGGGGCAATGGGGGGAAGTGAACCCTGGTCAGAGTGGCTCAGCTGTGGACATCATCAGTGAGGCAAGGAGCAGTACATGTCCCAGTGTCTCATCAGGCTGGGTGAGCAGTTCAGTTGCAGGTAGAGGGGCCAGCAGCAGCTGGACTGCTAGTGTTCCCCAAGCACTGTGGTGTGCAGTATGCCACTGGCAGAAGGACCTGAGCCAGAGACACTTCCCTAGATAAACCTTTATTGTCTGGCTAGTGTTGGTACACATGTCACCGCGGGTGTAGAAATGTGACAGAGGGGCGAGCAGCGCTGAGCACGTGGGTGCCCTGAGCTGGAGAGAAGAGTGGGGGTAGTTGTCCCAGCTTGCTTTATTTGCCTTGCACTCCCCTGGGACCCCTTGCCACTGCCTCCTCCCCAGCCCATAGGTGCTCCCAGTGTGGAAGTGCCCCAGGTGCACGTGGAAGTGGGAAGCAGGGTGTTGGCACGGTTGTGGAGCTGTCCCCAGGGAGGTGACACCAAGTAGGGCCTGCAGTGGGCAGAGAGGCTGCCTTGCAGAGGGCCAAGGGAACCACTGACAGATGCTGCCTGCTGGATGTACTATGACCCTGGCTGAACTGCATAGCTGTGCCCAGGCCACCCCAGAGACATCGGGATGGTGCCTGCAGGACAAATAATTCCTGGAGAACAAATAACTTAAAAGGCTGGAGCATGGGGGGCAAGCCAAGGTGGGAGCACCTCCAGCAACACCCACCTGGCTCTGCCCACAGGGTCAGCCTACAGCTGGCCAAGGCAGAAGCAGCTCTGCCAAGGCAGAGGTGTGGGGGTACCCTGGTGGAAGAGTTCTCCTTCCCCAGTGCCAGACCCATGGCCCCCCAGACCCTCCCAGGCAAGCAGCTCTCCTGCCCACAGGCAGCTCTGGGGTGAGAGCAGCAGTGGAGGCAGGCAGGGCAGGCTCTAGCACTCTTTCTGCCGCATGCGCAACTCATGGCGACGGAGGTGGTTATAGAGGGACTGCACGTAGGTGAAGACGCACTTGGCGTCAGGCTTCTTCCCCATGATCATCATGTCTTCGACCTCCACCAGCGGCACGCAGTCCACCAGCGTCCTGCAGAAATGAAGCCTTCAGCATGGCCTCAATTAGGCTACCCCATGTGGGGGCTGGCCTGGGCACCCCACACTGGCCAGGGCCTGCTGGTGTGGGCACTGCTGCCCTCAGACTTGCTCAGCTGCTTCCACACACCCCCCCCACCCACAGTCTGGTACTGGTACCCACAGTCCATCTGTTCTTGACACTGGGAAGAGCACCTGCTGTCTGCTATGGGAGGTGCCTGCCCCAGGGTAGGGGTTGCACAGCTGTCTGTACCACTTGCTTCCCCAGTGCTTTCTGTCCCACTTCTTGGTGCTGGCAGTCATCCTCTGCTAAAGCCATGCCCACCCTCCTCCTCTTGCTCTGCTAGCTGATGCTGATGGCCTCTAGGAAGAGCTCATCCTGGCTGCGGGTGTCTGCTGTGCCCCTGCCTCAAATGCTACCAAGTGGTTCAGGGAAAGCAGGGGGTCGGTCTTGGTTACATGCCATCCCTTACTCCTGCCTCAAGCCCTGGCCCTGCTCTTCTGCCTTCCTGCAAGCCCTGCCAGCCGGGCTCCCTCCCTTGCACCAGACCGGAGCCCAGGGGCTGCCTGCCCTAGGCCCAGCACACCCTACTGCTGGAGTGGGTACTACCCTGCTTCAGCTCACTCAACCTGGCCTATCTCCTCCTCTCCCTGTCTTAGCACAGTGCAGGGGTCCATGCAGGACCAAACTCCAGCAGCTACCAGTCTTGTGGGGCCTTGGCAGATCAGCTGTGGTTGTGTTCCCATCCCCACAGTAGCCTTGAGCCTCTGCCGCTGCCCTTTTGGTAGGGTAGCCCACTCTGCCTTGCTACCCATCCAGTTCCCTGGGCCATATCTCTTCCCCAATCAGAGCTCCCTGGGTGCTGGAAGGGACTGACAACAAAATTAGGAGTCATGATGACAACCAGGAAGGGAATGGAGGGGATCTGGCCACCTCTTGCCCTCTCCTTTCTACTGGGAGAGAAGGGGTGTGTGGCACAGAAGCAACCCTGTTACTGCTGCCAATCCTTCTGGCCCTGCCCCCCTTCAGGCTGCTGCTGGAACAAGGGCTATATTGGCACTGGGGCCAGTGCTGACAGCAACTGGCAGTACCTGTTGCCGTCATGGCCAGTTCAGCTGCTTTGGCCTGGGCCACTCAAGGTTCTGTCCCAAGGCTCTGGGTGCACAAGGAGGGTTTGAAAGCTATGCTTGCCACCCACCATGACAGCACTCTCAACCCTGAAGCCCTGTACCTCCCCTCTCCCCTCTAGAACAGCGCCACTCCAAGGTGTGATCCCAGCCAGTGGCAGCCCCTGGGGAGCACCAGGGACCAGGAGAGCCCCCCACCCTGGGTCCCAGGGCCTCCGCCATCCCATTATGTCTCTGCTGCCTGCGCAGTGGGCTCCAAGCCCACAGGCTGGCTGGCACCAGCCCCACCTCATGATTTGATCCCCTTCACCACCATGGGGATGAAGGGGGCGATGCTCGGGGCCTTGGGAAAGCCCTTGCCACTGCCAGCCTGGCTCAGGGGGTGATGGTGGAGCAATGGCAGCACACAGAGAGTGGCTCTACCCTTATAAAGCCATTGTTTGGGCTCTGGTGTGCCAGCACTGTGCAGAGCCAGGGGAGCCGCAGCTCTAGCGCCAGCCAGGATGCCCTGAGACAGGCACAAACAGTGCAGGATGAGGCAGGACCTGAGGCTTGAGTCACATTTTCCAGGCTCCTGCTTCTGCCCATATATGAGCAGGCAGCATCTCAGAGATGGACATGCACCCTGAGGCAGGAGAATGAGGCAGCAAGTGGAAGCAGTGATGCTGCAGCATCCTGCGAGGCCACCCATACTCAGGCAGCACCACTCACAATACCGTGAGTGGCATTGCAGCAGCTGATCCCTGGATCAGGCTCAGCCATGGGGGCAGGCCTCTAACTACTGCCCTCCCCGCAGGCAGAGAGCAAACAGCACTCCAGGGTGACACAGTCTCCCCTGCCCAAACCCCCACAGGCACTATTCCAGAAGGCCAGAGCCCAAACAGCTGTCTCTGCCCATCTCCTGCTGGGCCCTGTCTGGCACTGCCAGGACTCGCCCCTCACCCACGAGCAGCCCCCAGCCTCGTCCTCAGCCAAGGCAGTCAGTTCCCTGCCGAGCCCTGGTGGTGGTGGGGGCATGGGCAGGTACTTGGAGGGGAAGATTCTCACCATCGGTCCTGGGGGGGGCTGACAATAGGCTACGACTTTTTGGTTTTTACCAGCCCCTTCTGGACCAGGCAGCGATAGAATTCCTGAATGTATGTGTACACACACTTCCAATCTGGCTCGCGCATCCGGACCATGTCCTCCACGTCCAGCAACTGTGGACAGTCCGCGTGCTTCCTGGGTGCAGGGAGAGAGGGGCAAGCCAGTGACCGCAGCCCAGTCAGGGAGGGAAGGAAGAGAAAACAAGAGACACAGATCAGTGCAGTTCCCATCCCACTGGCAGCTGCTCCGCTCTGGCATGCTCTGGGGATGCACAGTGCAGGGGCAGGAGGGCTCCGGGCACCCCATGCCAAGGCCATTCAGTGATATTGGGGGGCACAAGCAAGGGGGAGAGGGGCAGGTGAATGGCGTGGAGAGGCGTGTAGTCCAGAGGGAAAGACAGATGGAAAAGGAGGAGAAGGAGGACGAGTGAGGTGTTCTGGCACGCCAGGTGCTCGGGGAGCGGGTTCCAGAGTGGAGCGGCGCTCTATATAGCTCCTATATAGACCGCTGGGAGGATGGGGGGGGACAAGCCCCGCCCTCCTGCCCAACTCCACTTGGAACCGCGGAGCACAGCCCTGGTGCAGGAAGCTCGGGAGAGGACGCTCACAAGAGCTGGAGGAGGAGGAAGGACGAGAGGCCACCTGGCTTCCAGGCCGGAGAGATCGATGGCTCTCTCAAGTCCGCGCACCAGTTTCCCAATTAAGGCAAAAAATTCATTAACAGGAGCGCCAAGAGCCAGGCCCGCAGCCCCTTCTCGCTCCACCAAACAGCACCACGGCACCCTGGTAGCTTGCAGGAGTCCCCATCTCACCCCGCCACCTTGGACATCAGCAGGATGGGACCCCCAGCCCTGCCCCCCGGCAGGGTGCTGGAGGAGAGGAGTAAGTGGGTGGGAGAGAGACAGAAGGAAAGAGAGAAGGGCTGGCTGCCAGCCCTCCAGCTGGGCGCACTCCCATCTCTCAGCACCCAGGAAAACCAGAAGCAGAAGGGGAAGGGAAGAGACTGGAGAAGCTGCAATGGTGTTTGAGCCCCTACAACTGTGAAAGGAGGCACCTGGCATAGCCAAACCCTTCTCCCCCCACTGGCTGCAGTCCCACACCTGGTAGCCCAGGATGGAATGTACTGCCTGAAGCCAGGTGGGCTTATGGGGCTGCTGCTCTGCCTTTGGATGCTCTGCTCCACACCCAGGAACCCAGACCCCAATACCCACCCTTGCTGCACCAGACTGGGCTGCACTGATCTCTTGTGACTCTGCCCACAGAGCTGCTGCTTGCCTCCACAGTGCCTAACCTTGTTGCATTGCATGGGAGGAGTGACACCTACAGGCACCCACCTCCAGCACCATCACCTCCACGTGTCCCCCCTCACCCCAGCAGTGAACAGGAGAGCCACCCCAAGTCCATATGATGGCAAGAGAGGTACGTACTCTGCAGAAGAGAAGGCCACCTCGAAGTTTTGGCGGCGGTTCTGGGGTGTCAGCTTACTGTAGTCAAATGCATCAGGGAAGAAATTGTGGACCAAGGCACAGAAGGCCATGCCATCACTCCAACTGGATGAGAAGTTCTGGATGTCCACATGCTGAGGGAGCAACAGAGTTAGCAAGGGACAGAGTGACTGGCCTTGGGACAGGAAGAGGAGGTGGCACCCACCTCATAGCCTCGGGTCTTGGCTCTGCACCAGTCCAGCAACATCTGTTTGATACTGTTGGCATTTGGCACGCCAAAGCTGGAAGAGCGCTGCACAGTGGTCTGTGATGCTGCAGGGTTTGAACTGTGGCAGGAGACACGGGGTGTTATCCATAGCTGCAGGATATTGTTATTTGTGCAGCACTCACTGCCCTGGTCAGCCTGCCCCAGGCCCAGTCTCACCTCCCACCCTCTTTCTGCAGCTTCTCCATCATGGCCTTGCGTGCCTGTGAGGCTGATGTCTTGGGCAGGCTCTGCACTTTCATCAGTTCCTTCTTCTTCTCTGCCTGACGCCGCTCCAGTGCGGCCAGGCTGCTCTGCCGAGAAGCACTCTCATCCTCACGGTCAAAAATGCTGGGAGAGAGATAGGCAATGCTAAAGGGGCTGTGGGCAGCCCAGGGGAGGGCAAGCAGTGGTCTCAGCCCATGGCCAGCCCTGGAACTCTGGAGACCTCCATGTCCCTGGGACAGAAGAGAGGTGGCTTAAGGTCCTTAGTTGGCAGACCTATCTCCATGCTCATAGATGGACCCATGAGAACCTCTGAACATAGTGAATGTACCTCAAGGACCTGGAAACTTTGGGGTCACATTTTCAGTGGGGACACTGCAAGCTGGGCATAGGGTTTGTGCAAGCAGATGAGTGACAAGGGACCATGTGGGGCTGTTCCCACAGGCACCTCTGCTCACCTGCCTGTCTTTTTGGATGAGGAGCTGTAGGATGATTTTGTTTGAACGAAAGTGCTGTTGCCATCTGCAGAGAGAGAGGAAGGGCAGAGGCCCTGGGCAGGAGCTGTGCCAGGCAGGCAGGACTCTGCCTGCACCAGGGCAGTGTTGCCTCAGCAGCAGCAGCAATGTCCCAGGGTTACACCCTGAGAATGCTGTGGGGAAAGGGCAGGAAAAACTTACTGTCTGATCTCTTCACATAACTCGACTCCATGGTTGTAGTATGGGAAGTCTTGGTGCCATCACCTGCAGGGACAAAGGAACAGGAACTGCTGGGCTGTGAAGAGCAGCACCCACAGACACTTGATGCTGCCAAGCATCTTTGCACTCATGCAGTGCAACAGGGAGAAATCCCAGGTGGTAGGCAGAGGGAGGCAGGTAGAGGGAGGACAGAGGGCATGTGCTCCTCAGGCAGAGAACAAGAGGCAAGTGCGAAGCAGCAGGGAGCTGGGGCATCCCTCAGCCCCTGCAGCCACTCAGTTTGAGCCACCCAGGGATTGGGAGAGCAGGGGTATAGAAGACAAGACACAGGCCAAAGGTGAGATGAGGCCCTGCCATCCTGACAGGGTTTGGGATTCAGAGGGAAGTCACCAGAGCAGAACCCTTAATTATCCCCAGGCAGGCTCTGGGCAAGCCAAAGACTCAGCTCTGAAACACTGTCCTGCTCCCAGCACAGTCAAGCCAGACTCAGGACAGGCAGTGAATGGCAAAGGAGCTGTGGTGGCAGAGCACTGGGAAGGATTCTGCAAGGCCCTCAAAGGGCTGGCACACTCCCCCAGCCCAGCCCATACTAGACTGGACAAGACGCTCAGTCTTGGTGATGGTGCTGCATGCCGAGCCATCGGCTGACTGAGTGCTCTGCCTGGTGGTGGTCTCTGTGGCGTGGCCAGCCCTTCCTGCCACAGATTGGCTCCTAGCCTCCTGCAGCCGCTGGTCTCGCTCCTTCTCCCGCTGGTCTGCAAACACAAGTGGGAGATGGCATCAGCGGGGAGGTGGGGTGGTGGGCATGGTTCCTGCCACACTAGGGGTCTTGCAGCTGCTGCTGGCCCACAACTGGTTCATGGGAAGGCTGATGTCCTTGGCCTTGCAAAGCCAGTAGAGGATCCAGCACACACTCTACTGCTTCCCCGTGGGTGGACAGCCCCACTTCAGCACCCTATATTGCCACCACCACTGCTCTGACTCCAGGAGTACCTCGTTTGCGCTGGCGCAGCTCCCGCATGGCATTTCTAATCAGCCGTCGCTCCTCAAAGTCTGTTGTCCGATCCAGCTGCAGGAGGGGGAAGTCATCATTAGTCTTCTGCCATCAGCTTGAGGTCCCTTTACCTTCTCGCAGGAGCCTGAACTGGAGAAAGAGTTACCATCTTATCCAGAACATCCTCATCCTCAATCTTGCTCAGCTCCTCGACATTTAGCTTGCTCCTTTTCTCCACCTCCCTCACTTGCACCTTCTCCATGCCGTTTGTCAGCTCTGGTTCTCGCCTTGGTGCCTGGTGCTGCTCCACCACCTCCGGCTCCATCTGCAAGGACATTACCATGCAGCTGAGCCCCTGCCAGCTTGGCCACCCCCCACCACCTCTTCTCAGGGTCCAGGCCCTCATCACCCCGACACCAGCCCAGTGCTACAGGCAGTGAGGACCCTGGGACCTAAGTGCTCTCAGCTGGTGGGATGCCACAAGCATCTGCAGCACTCAAGGCAGGCAGGGGAACATGGCAATCTGCAGCACCCCATGCCCCAGGAGGGCCCAGCAGTTCCTCTCTTCCTTCCAGTCTGGCTGCCATAATATTTCCAAATCCTCCCTGCTCTATGGTAGGAGGTGGCTGGGTCTTCCAGCCGGCAGGGGCTGCCCAGGGCTTTGGGCTGGGCAGCAGCTGTTACCCAGCAGTAGGCAAGGTGCTGTCAAGGCCAGTGCATGCCATTAGCAGCACAGGGATTTCCATGGAATTAAGGGACTTAGTGTAGAGAAGAGCTTGTGGAGGAGATCAAGAGCTTCGCCCCGCATCCCTTCCAGGATCTAGGCCAGTTCGGCCCCTGCCCAAGCACAGCCAGGATGCCAGATCCCTTTCAGCACAACCCCCCAGCAATTCATAGCAGGCAGTGGGCCAGGCCCGGAATAGGGCACAGAGGCACCAGGAATGACAGAGAGGGATCAGAGCAGCCACGCACACACCCCACCCTGCATCCTGTGGCCCGGTAACTGATGCATGGCAAAGTCATCAGCAGGAGTTGATGCTGGCCACATGCACCCATGCCACCACCTGTGCCTGGTGCTGTGGTGGGGGCAAGACAGCTGCCTGCAGCCTCCCACCTGGCACACTGGGAATGCGAAACGGGTGGGTGCACAGCCCCACCACACCGAGCCCAAGGAGTGGCAGATCTCCATGGTGCTGTGTCGTCGTGCACCACTGCCAGTCACGCCTTGTGCCAGGGCTATAGACACCCCCAAGAGCCCTGGGGGCTGGTGACCCCCCCCTCCCTTCCCCCTGTCATGGGGCAGGGCTGCCCACACTCACGCTGCTGTTGCTTCGGGAGAGATGCAGGGCCGATTGCTGGCGTGTACTGGAGAAAGTGGGTGGATGGGCCACAGGGCCACTGGGCTCCTCAGTGCCCTCAAAGTGGGCGCAAGGGTCCTGTGCTTCCAGAAAGAGGGTGCTGATGTCCTCCCCGGGGGGCGTCTGCAGCCCTGGTGCCAGCAGATCAAGGCGGCGGCCCAGACGCCCCAGCTCTGCCCGCAACTCCAAGTGCTCCTGCTCCAATGTCTGCAGTGCCTGCGCCAGCGTCTGCACTCGCTGCAGAGCCCACTCCAGTTGCCCCTCTGCTGCCCCCCGGAACGCCACCAGCTCCTGCCGCAGTTCTGCCAGCTCAGCCGCCCCAGCTTGCGCCAGCCCTTCCAAGCTGAGCCCCGGCATGGTGGCAGTGCAGGCGCTGCGGCGAGGCCTGCTCAGCTGTTCACTGCCCTTTATAGGGGCCCAGGCACCCCCCCCGGCTGGAGGCTGGCCTGCTCCCTGCCTGTGGGCTATTCTGGTCCCAGCAGCTGGGGGTCCCGTGCAGGGGTGCTGAGCCAGGCACCACACTTGGCAGCACATCCGGCTGCGGGACCAGGTGGCTCAGCAAGGGGAGCCCTGCAAGTGGCCCCCCCTGCCCTGGAGGCTGCCAGGGCGAGATACCAGCCTGGGGGCTGTGGGACAAAGTGGTATGGACCAGCCCTGACCACTGCAGTGCTGGGTGAGTGAAAAGGTCAACCACTGCTGTGTTCTTTTGCCCAAGTGCCTTCCCACTCTGGGCCAACATCACCCACAGCACATCTCCAGCCCCAGGCTGGCACTGGTGCAAGGGCCCTGGTCACAGCATGGATTTTAGGTCTTCAAAGCCCCGTGCTGTCCAATGCCTGCCCCAGGGGGAGCAGGTCCCTGCACAGGCAGCACCCCACCAACAAGAAGACATGCTACCGTGGCTACTGCCCCCAGGTCCCTGCAGCCTGCTGATTCTCCAACCAAGCTCTATGTGGCAGGACTGCCAGCACCATTGCCTCATCCTCTTCCTCCTCCCTGCTCACCAGGAGCATACCTGGAGGCTGTGTCCCCTGCCAGGCAGCCAACAGGTCTCCTGTTCCCCACCTCACTGGACAGACCCACTAATACCTTAATGAGAGCTGACAAGTGCTCGGGCCAAGCCTGCCCAAGTACACTAGCACAGGGAAGTCACCCCACTGCAGCCAGCTGCCCACAGGCAGGGCCTGCTGGCAGGTGTGGGCAGCACCTATGGGCACTGCCTGCCTCATGCTGGCAAGGGCTGGGCTGAGGATGGGGTGAAGCCAGTGGTACCACAGCCATCAGTATGCCCCAGGCCACGGGTGATACCACAGCCACTGGCAGTGACACAGGCCACCCACAGTGCTGTTCCTGCAGAGGCAGCCAGGCATGTGCAGGGCCATGAGTGAGACAGAGCCATGTTTGACATCCTGGCTCCTGCCAAGGCGGCACACGGGCGCCTCGCATTACCCTAGATGGGCACGAGCAGATTAAAGCACTTCAAAGGCTGTCTCCTGTGTGCACCCAGACCCAGGGTGGCCACAGCCTGCCCTCCCCACAAGACACTGCAGAGGGGTTGATTTTTTCCGTTTTGTTTCTCCAGTTGCACCCAAGAATCCCTCCCGGGTGGGCTGGGGCTTTGGTCACTCTCCACTCACGATGGCATAGCAGGAACAGGCAAGACCCCCATCCCACAGCTCCAGGGTGCTTTAGAGACCTTTGGGGAGTAGCCCCCCTCCAAGGCAGGCTCCCCAGACACATGGCCAAGGTTCATCCCCATGAGGAAAAACAGAGGGGTGGTTGGGTTTTTCCCTGAGCTGCTGCCACCCTTAAAGGTGTTTGAGACAAAGGGAGACCCACAAAAGATTCCTTGTCCCCCTCCGCCCACCTCCCCAAGTGTCTGAGTACATGGTGGCACAGTCCAGAGTGCAGGAGGCTCATGTGGGGCTGTGCAACCACACACCACACAAAGGCCAGGGTCTCTTGATGAAAAAAACCCTACCAAAACAAAAGCAACAACCAAAACAAGACAGAGCCTCTGGACCATGCTGCCTATACTAACTCTTCGGTCCCTGGTGCCCCCCCGCGAAGCCCTGAAACTGCCAGGCAATGGCCAGGTGGGGCACGGCCCCATAGACCCCCTGGGCACTCACCTTGGTGACATCGCTGCTGACACTGCTGATGTTGCAGATGCTGCTGACACTGCTGGGGATGGTGGTGATACGGATGGGGGTGCTCCGCAGACCCAGAGTCACCTCTGCAAGGGGGAGCAAGAGGCATGTGGGGTCTGACCCAGCCCACAGGCTCAGCCCCACAGCTGGGGAGTGGCTCTGGCTGGGCTATCTGCCTGCTCCACACATCCTGCCCTGGCAGTGAGCCCTGAACTCTAGCACAGGGAAAGGGCTCTGGGGGCAAGCAAGAGATGGGAAAGTTGAGACCCCTCACTGCCCTGGCTTATCATCCTCCCCAAGAAACGGCACTTTATGCAGTATTTCAGCTGGAGCCAAGACCCCCTGGTGAGAGGGATGGCCACAGGAGTATCCTGAGCCAGCCACATCTGCAGAAAAGCAGAGTTGGGGCAGGGCTGGAACAGGCATGGTGCAGCGGTGAGATGGGACAGAGCATGATGGTGTGGGCTCCCCTGAACCAGCAGGTCAGTGGCGAGAGGATGGGGCAGGGCTGCAGGGGTAGGGCAGGGATTGGGGAATGACCCCAAACATAAACATGGTAAGACACTAGGGCTGGGGACAGACGGTCTCCCTGAACTGAGATGCCCCAAGCAGACTGAGGGTGCAGGCCAAAGGATGAGGGCTACCAGGCACACTTTGTTCTTCTGGCAGCATCTGTGCTCAACGTCTGGGCTGCCAGCACTTAAATGCCACTGCTGCTTATCAGCACCCACCTGGCCTGGCTCAGCCTGCCCACCTCCAGCTGCCCATTTGTGCCCACCATCTGTCAGTGCCCAACTGCCCACTGCCCAGCTGTGCACAGTGTGATATTAGGAGCACAGTCCTTTAGTGCTTACAGCCCGGTGGATCCCCCGGGTCCATTCCCTCCCGCAGTGCCCACCTTCCTGAGAGATCCCCACCTGTTCCAGTCCCACCTCCCTGCATGACACCCATGCCCATAGCCCCTACAGCGTCAAGCCTCATGACAGATGCCATCTCCCCACTGGACCTGTCCTGCGCACCCGTACCCATCAGTGCCCACCTGCCCGCTGGCTGCCGGGGGCGGCCGTGATGCGGGGCGCCAGAGGCTGCACGCGCCCATCCTTGATCTCGATGGTGAAGAAAGTCTTCATGGCGTCGAGGCGGGATCCGGCGGGGCGCGGGGCCGGGCGCTGCTCTGCGCCGCCGCTGCCCCGCGCGTTTTGAGCGGGCGCCGGCGGGGCCGTGCGGGGCTCCCTCTGCCATTGGGCGGCCCCAGCCCCGGCCCCGGCCCGCCCCCCCGCGCCGCCCGCCCCCGCCGGCCCGAACCGCTGCGCGCGCTCCCGCACCGAGCCGGTGGCAGAGGAAGGTGGGGGTCCGACGGGGCGCGGCGCTGCGGGGATGGGCGCGGGGTCACCGGACTGCGGCCGCCTGCGCGTGTCCCCGCACCCTGCATGGAGCGCCCTGCGGTGCCTCCCACCCTGGGGTGCCCCCTGCGATGCATGCTGCCCACGCCCCGGGATGCTACAATGTGCATGCAGACCCCCTAGGTTGCCCACACGATGCGCAATGCCCCCGCAGTGCCTGACCGTGCATGCAACCCCAAAGTGCTCACGGGATGTACTGCTGCCCCCCAGAGATCCCATCATACACCCAGCATTTTCCAGGGTGGCTGCAGCCCCTCAAAACCTCTGCTCCCTCCCCCCACTGCTGCCGGATCATTGTGCACATGGCTGGGAGGGAGGGAGGGCTTCTGGGCAGGAAGCAAATGAGCAGGTGGGCAGCCAGCAGCATCCTGCGGCATCCTGGCACTGCAAAGCTTCACACCTGCCCAGGCTCCACCAGGGACATCCCGCCACCGAGAAGCAGAGGATGGAGGCAGCCCCCTACTAGGATCTTACCCGTGGGGCCAGCAAGGCAAAGGGAGGAGGGCGCCAGCTCCCACCGGTGAGTATTCAGGCGAGCCGGGGTCCCCATTACCTCCTGAGTGGGCACTGATGCTTGGGAAGAGACAGGCCAAGGAAGGAATAACACAAAGGGAGCAGAGGTGAGCATGGCATAGGTGCTGCTGGCATCCTTCCACCCCAGCACAGCACCCTGCGGTCTCCCTCCCCATCACTCCACACTCCCCAGAGCTTAGTGCCAAAATCCATCAGCACTTGTAGGCTGCCCTGCACCCCAGGCACGGACTCTGTCCTGCAATGCAAAACCACTACAGAGGAGGATAGGCTCTGTGCCCAGTAGTGCACTGGGGGTCCCTGGATCTGTGTTGAAAGGTTGGGATCACCCCTGTCCTCACCAGGCTCTGGAACACCATTGCCTCTGGAGAGACACTGAGGGGACCAGGTGGCTCAGCCTTCAAGGGTACGGGCAGGGCTCTGCCCTGGGGCTGGAGTCATTGATGTCCATGGAGGAAGGGGGCTCAGCTTCTCCTCAGAACCCAGGTTTAAGCCCCCTGTGACGCAAGGCGGGTGTCAGATCCTCCACACGTTCCTCTACCCCAGGGCTGTGCCACACTGCAACCCACCACCTCCAGCATCTTCCCAGGAGCCAGCAGACTCCATGGGCTCCTCAGAGGGACAGCAACCTCCACCTGCCAGGGCAGCACCCCTGACCCTGACCTGAGCAGAGAGCTGTGTTTTGGTTTTTCCGCATTTCCTCCTGGGACAGCCATAGGGATGGTTTTCCCAGCAGTAGGAAGAGGGCAACTGCTGGCCACTGGAATCCCTCAGGGTTGTGAGGAGGCCCTGCAGGGTGCTGGGCCCAGGGTGGGGGTGGTCAGAGCCAGTCAAGCACAGCTCCCAGCCTTATTGGGACAAAGAATGCAAAAGGCCAGGGTTTGCTACTGGCACCGATTCCCTTTCATGGCCCTGCAGTAACCCGGCCAGAGTGGGAGCCCCAGTAAACAGCCTGCCTGGCACCCAGTTCCCTGGCTGGTGTGGGCATTGCCACCACTTGGCTAGGCAGCAGTCAGCCCCCAGCTAGGGGTGGCCTTTGGCCTGGCCGTGTCCTGCACTCACATTCCTGGCCCAGCACACGTGGGCTGGAGTCATGTCCCCAGGGCTGCCTGGGCTGTACATGCTGCAGGACAGGGGAGCTGAGAGGGCTCTGGGGCAGCACTGCCCAGCTGTCAGGGGGACACAGCTCTCATGTCACCCCCCTCAGGGCTACACTTACCCACTGATGGCCTCTCATGTCTCCCACCTGGCCCCAGCACCTGGCAGTGCACTCCAATATGAAGCTATGGGAGTAGAGGGGAAGAGCACTCAGCTGGGTGTTACATGCAGTCCCCCCATTAAGTTGCCTTCACCCACAGACTGCTAGCCCTGGGCAAGGAGGGCAGCAGCAGCTGCCACCAGTTTTGTACCTGGCTGCCAGCACTGGGCTGGCCTGGGATGAGTTGCTCCCCTCTGGGGCTTTGTGCCACACTGGGCTCTGGGGTGCTGGCAGAACTACCCAGGTTTCCTTCCTTCCAGGCTGCCTGGGGCTGCCCCTGGGGCTGGCCCTGCTGCAGGTCCTCACCACCATCCTCAGGCTCTGGATTGGGCTCTGGGGTTGGCTGCAGCTCCAGGAGCACAAGGGTCCCTGAAACCACGGCTGAGGGTGAGAAGAGGCTCTGCTAGGGAAGCCTGCAGCTTCCTGCAATGCATTCCTACTCCTGCAATTCCTCCCAGGCACCCGGCTGCCCTGCCCACCATTGTGAGATGGTATGCACTCAATCGTGCTGCAGCTGGCCAGGCACAGCTCTGGCCCCAGGCACGCACCTAGACAGGATTTTGCCATGGACATTTGTGGAAACTCACCCTGAGCACTGGGTTTCTGGGGGTCTCCCGCTTGCTGGCTGCACAGCTCGGGCCTCCTAGCTCGGACATGCTCCTGCTCCACCACATCCTCTTGCTTGTGGGCCTGGAGAGAGCAGAACCAGCCCGGGTCTAGTCTCTGACTGGGCCATGATGGCCCATTTCAGCCAGGGATGCATAGGCTGTGGTCTCTTCCCATCCTATCCAGGTCCCTGCCTGCATGCTGCCTGGAACTGACAAGCCAGTCCCTGCAGAGGGGTCACAGCAAGAGGCTCACGGGGGACAAGTGTCCCCACATCCTGCTGCATCCTGTGGGCAGGGAGAGAGACAGTGTCTAGTGAAGGGGGACCTCAAACCTATGCCCTATGCCCCCAGCCCAGGCACTCCAGGGCTCTGTGATGCAGGGAACACCCAGTTTTACATTACCCTGTCCCTGTCCATAGCACCTGCAGCTCTGCTTGGCAAATGATGAAATATTCTGGAAACAGGACCACACACAGATGAAAGACGTGTCTCTGACATAAGTCTGAACAGGGTTAGGGTGCTTTGGTGTCAGCTAGGAAACAAGATGCCAGTCCTGGCTGTGCCAGTGCCTCTAGCAGCACCATGACTCTATGGCAGGGGGAGACAAAGAGGGCGCATACCCTGAGGGGGCACAGGAGAACCAGGCCCCAAACTCAAGGATGGAAACAGCCTTGGGTTTGTAGTAATCAGCCATATCGAGCGAGACATCTCTCTCAGATGCTCAGTGATGTCCCAGCCCAAGCCAGGGCTTGGGGGCAGCATGCCAGCACATCTGGATGGGGAAGCAGACAGTGCTGAAAGGTGGCACAAGGCCACATCCCTTTGGCAGTCTCCTGCTATGGCCCTGGGGCAAGTGGAGGAAGAAACAGGGCTGGACAGAGGCAGGTGGGGGAACCCACGCCTTCTCACCTGGCTGCAGGTACACCCATTGCTTCTCTTCTTCCCACCCTCACCCTCAAAGGGCAACCCCACAGGGCTGGGTGCACAGATCTCCTACCACCACAGTCTCTGCACGCTCATCCTTGCTGCACCAAAAACCTGGCCTGTTCTCATTCCTTCCAGCTCTGTTCACCAGCTTATCCCTCCCCCATCCAGAAAGCCACTGGTTTCACTCCAGAATGAGCCCTGGCCCCTCAATGGCTGGCAGGAACAGCCATCACGAGAAGGGGGACGGGGAATCAAGGTTTCTACCCATGCAAGGGAACTGCTTCAGGGGAGATGAATGGCTGTTGCCTCCAAAGAGCCCCATCCCCAAGAACTGCAGCAGAGATGAGTGCACCACATGCACCAAGAGGCTCCCAGATCCCCACCAGATTGCATCCTTGGGAGAAGCCCAAGGAGCACCCTGGCCTGAAGCCCCAGTCCCAGCTCACCGCTGCTGGGGCCATGCTGTCACAGCCCAGCCATGCTTCCCCTGTCCCCAAAGACCCCAGCCCCACCTGCCCCAGTCCCTTTGGGCAGGCAAGCACAGCTTGCCCAGGGCTCTGTGCTCCAGACAGGAACTCCAGGAAAGGGTGAAATCTTGAACAGTCCCACGCCCTGCAGTGCTCTACACACTCACCGTTGAGCCTTTGGGCTCCTGGGCAGGGGTCTGCTCCACAGCCTCCCTGTATCCACTCTCCTCTGGCCCAGCCAGTGCTGGCTCTGCAACATCCTGCTGGCTGCTCTCCCCGCTCTTGTCTGTGCCTGGAAGCTTGGTGCTGCCCTCACCACAGCTCTCTTCACTCCCAGTAAGGGCCGGTGTTTCAGCATTGTCCCTCTGGACAATTTTCGTTTCCCCAGGCACAGTGGGGGGACTCTTGCTGCCATCCCTCTGGCTGCTCTGCACATTTCCAGCCAGGGTCGCAGCTGGATGAGATCAAAGATGGTGTTCAGGAAGGAGCTGCCTACATCCCAGACTTTCCAGGGCATTCCCCCCACCGGAACATGGGAATAGTGCCTCACCTTCAATCTCCTCAGCCCGCAGCTTACGGATGGCAGCTCGGATCAGCTTGCGCTCCTCATACTCACCCGCTGCCCGCAGCTGCAAGAGGGAAGGACCCAGGAAAGAAGCAGTCAGCCCCAGCACAAGTTCCATCCCAGCAAACCATCTGCCCTGGCACATGGTCGCTCACCAGTTTTGTCAGTTCCTCCACACTGGTGATGGCTTCGAGCTGCTCAGACAAGGCAGTCAGGGCTGCCTGCTGCTCTTCCAGGCGCTGGGACCTGAGCAGGGTGAGAGCAGTGGCCTGCTGGGAGCTGTCATGGGCGCTTGCAAGCAAAGTCCCCTTGTGGGGCAGCTGGCAGGTCCAGGCAACAGGCCCCACCATGAGCCAAGCTGCTCTGTGCCACACTGTTCCCACTCTCATGTTCACTCAAATCTGTCCCAGCCACAGTGGGGCCAGGTACCACAGACCCCATCTCCCAGGGCAGAGGCAGGGAATGGCCTCAGCTCCCAACAGGACTTACTGTGGCCAGTTCTCCTTGTCGTCCTGTCGACGGCTGCTGCGTTCTGGGCGGAAGCGCTTGGATGCCAACGTCTCCTCGTCCCGCTCCAACTCCTGCCGCTGCAGCTCCCGGATAGCCGAGCGGATGCGGCGCCGCTCAGCCAGGTCCAGTGTGGCCTCCAGCTGGGTGCATAGGGCAGGGCTCAGCACTGGCTCTGGCCACTAAGCCCCCATCTCAGCCCTGGTGCTGCCCTCTGCCACACTGTCATGAGCTTCCCACACTCTGGACAAAGGCACTGTCTTTGTGTGGCACTCACATGCCCAGTCCACGCTGCCTGGCGCTGCGGGAAGTGGGCACAACCCCCCCAGAGCAGGATGCTGGGACCAACCATGGTGAGGAGGGACTGCCATGGTGGCACCGAGACCTCTGGGATGTAAAGGTCAAAGAGATGAGCATGCAAAATGAACACCTAGCAGTGATCCTGCTGCCAGCAAGGTTGATGCCCTGCAGCTCTGCCCCTCCCAGTGCCACCAGCTCTGGAATGAGTTTTCCTACCCACGCCAGCCCCTCCAGCAGCAAAGGGACAAGAGAGCCCATTCTCTTTCTATCGCATGCTCCCCAGGAGGTTCTGGTTTAAAGGGCCCCAGCATCCCACCATCTTGTCCACCCTGCAGCCCTCCCCACCCTCATCCACTGCTAGCAGATGGCAGGCAGCTCTTGGAACCAAATCCATGAGTGGGATCTGTCCTAAATCCAAGTCCAACCCTTTATGTGTGGGAAGCACAGCCAGAACTCCCCCACAAATGCCCCCCCATGAATATCTCATAGGTGTTCCAGGTGCTCCTCAGCCCATCCAAGGCCAGCACCTGGCACGGGCACCCAGAGCTGCTCCCCCCCACTCTTCCAGAGCAGGTCACAGCCCAGCCCCACTAAGAGCTCCAGTTTTTCCAGAGGGCCATGAACACACCTCCTGAAGGCAGCCAGATCTGCAGTGAAAGGCCAGCCATGGCAGTCATGGCCCTGCTATCCTCACACTGTCCTGTTGTAGGACGTCAAGACTGCCCTGACACTGGGAACCCAGGAGGTGATTTCCCATGGAACTCATTAAAAATAGACCCCATGACCAACAGCAGCTGCTGTCATCATCAAGCCCCATCACACTGGGAGAAGCCATGGCTGTGCCACAGGAAAAGAGTATCAGTCCCTTTCCTTCCTGTCCCATGGGTCACTGACAGGCCACCCATCCAGGCTCTCTGGGTTCCGCTGCAGCAGGGATCCAGGGTCAGTCCCTTGACTGGACCTGAATCGAGCCACACTGAGGGTCCCACACCACCACCTGTACACAGACTTCTCTGCAGAGACCTTGTGAAGCTATTGCCCTTTGCCCTCTCTGCTCAGAGCTTGGCGACATGGGAGGGTATTTCCATCTTAATGAATCTAGCAAGCACAGAGCAGGCACAGAGATGCAATGTGTCATCCCAGCGGCAGCCAAAACTGTGGTACTCCAACCCTTGCCAGCCGCAAAGCCCAACTGGGAGCATTATCCTTCTGCAACTGGGAAGATCCCAGTGGCTGGGACTACCAACCCATAGGGCAGCCCAACTCTAAAAATACACACAGCCTCTGAGGGAGCTGCCTGGAGCTGGGGTGCTCTTTCCCTCCAACCCCAGCAGCCCTCACCATGCCAGCAGGCAGTACCATCCCTTCCATCCCTCAGCTAGAGCTGAGGCCTGCAGCTCACTCTGAGCTTTTATCCAGAGCATGCACGTCTGCCACCACAAAGCCAGGAAAGTGGCCGGGAAGAGCAGGAGCCACGGCACTGCCAGAGCAGTGGGGAGTGTTGGAGAGAAAACTAGCCCCTCCATCCTCATGGGCCTCTCATTTTTCATCTGCCCCGGATGGCTGCCGGCATCCCAAGGATGCCACTACAGTGGGGACAGCTACTGCCAGGACAAAGGCATGGTCCAGCAGCAATGGCAGCCACTCTGGCCAGCCAGGAAGCCTGGCTCCCTGCAAACAGGGCAGCATCGATGGGTGGGGAAGCACTGGAATTTGGTTCAGTTCAAAATGAGGGGCTGGAGGCAGGCTTTGCAGTAAGGACAGCCCTCCCTGGAGCCATCCAAAATCTTTGAGGACAGGAAAATAGTCCTCAACTGCATATTGGGTGGCCAAGGCCTTGGCCCTTCCCTAAATAAGCTGCTGGCAGTGAGGGGCAAGCTGGGCTTGGCCCGAGGAGCTGGGTCAGGGCAGAGGGAAAGGTGGGAGGAGGGAGGAGAAGGGGCGTGTGCACAGCAGCTGCAGAAGTCCTGAGTGCCAGAAAAGGGGGACACAATGGGACATCAGCCCTGCAGACCCTGGTGCAGTAAACAGGCACCAGTGTGTGCTGTGTGGCACCCACCCGCCAGGTCCGGCGACTGCCCCACCCAGGAGGCTCCAGCTGGGACCTGACCTGCACCCAGGTCCTGGAAGACTTCTCCACCACAGGACAAATGGCAGGGCAAGAGAAAATGCTTTATTCCAAGCCCACGTCAGCAGGGAGCTGGGATGAGGCAAATGAGTAGCTTTGGAAGCTCCATAGCCAGTGGCAGGGGAAAGCATGATGGAAACCACAACAGCTGCAAAGGGACCAAGGGGCCCAACCCTGCCAGCACAGCCAGGCTCAGGCATCGGCACATGCCGGGGCCCCATGGGCCCTGTCCAGCTCCCAACAAATTAATGGTTCCAAGCAAACACCCTCCTCAGCACACAGAGTGCCTTTGTGAAAGGGCACTGGTGCAGCACCCATAGGCTGCTTTCCCCACTGGTGCCCAATGCAGCAGTCTAAGAGCCCCATACAGTGGGGAGCTCCTCCAGGATGGCTGCAATTAGCCCGGCATGCATGCATCCATCCTGCTCTTTGGAGGCTGGAACCTGGCCACGGGGAAACCACTTTGGGATATGAAAGAGCCTGGCATATCGAGCACCTCCTACAGCCCAAAGCTTTACCGTCACCTTTGGAAAGAGCCATGGGGAGCATGGCTGCCCCCCAAGCAGAGGAAAGCAGGAATGGATGACGGGGACATGGCAGGGATGCAGTGCTTCTTAGGGCCATCAAAGATTTGCCAAAGGCTACTGGGTATAAGAAGAAGGGAATCTCATGGCAGCGACTTTCCTAACTCAAGCCTGCCCTGCCGCTGTCTCCAAAGGTATTTACATCCTCCTTAATTAACCAGACTAAGAGTTGGAGGGGCTGGGAGAGGAAGCATTCCTCGGCCCAAGGCCAGCAAACCTCAGTCTGGAGCTCAGTACAGCCATGAGAGCTCAATCTCTTGCTTCTGGACATCCACCTAAGAGCCACCCTGCAGTAGCACCCACCTCATCCCCCACAGCTCCCTCCTCTGGCTTCTCCAAGCCCTTGGTCACCTTTATGCTGCACCATTGGTTCATCACAGCTGGCCTTCCTGGGACTAGGATAACAGTGCTGGGAGGGAATCATATGGATGCCTATGGCAGGAGTTGCAGGGCAGAGGCTTCCGGCAGCTTCCAGCCCAGCCAGCACAGGAGTGAGGGGGCTGCAGAGATCTCCTCAAGTGCCCTAGCCTCCTTCTAGTTTCCCTGGGGATATCAGATGCTGCTGCCTAGATGTCACTTGGGGAAAAGGAGAAGCAAGGCAGAGTGGAGGGCTGGGGAGAGCAGGGAAGAAGGGAGGAAGTGATGGGAGAAGCAGTTTTCCCTTATATGGACTAATCCTCTCCCAGCTGAGTGGAGCCAAAAACCTAACCAGAAGAAAAATAATTCCTTCCTTGTCTCACGTCAGCTCAGATGAGGCTTTTCTCAGCCTGTGCCACACAGCACATGGAGATGTGGGTCACAAGCACAGTGCTCTGGGGAGGCAAAGCCTCAGCATATCAAAGGAAGAGCATCTATAGAAACAGAGCTTGCTGCAGAATGAGATCCACCTCCCTGGGCTGGCTGGACACCAGGAACCCACCACCGCTCCTGGGGCTCCATCTCAGATCAGAGACCTCGGCTGCGACATGATAGAGCTGGAGCACTGGCAGGATGGGGAGACATCCTGACCACCCATCCCCAAACCTCTGGATGGGTGGTCCGTTGGCCCCGACATCACCCCACGAGAAACAAGTGGGCTTCTCAGCTCGAACCACGGGCAGGTCTGCGTGTTATCACTCAGGCTGAGGGTGGCAGGACAGGAGGCTCAGCCGGGGGCAACCCCCGTGTCGACCCACAGCAGAGACCTCACTTCCCTTCGGCATCCCGACTCTCCTGTTAGAGCAGACCTGCCTTCCCAGCTGACTCAGCTTCCTGCTGTGATCATTCCCCATCGCTGACCTGGGCCACCCCGGCTCAATCCCCGAGGCAGCCAGCATAGCCCTAGCCCCGGGCCGGGGGTCCCTGGGGTTGCCCAAAGCTGGGCACTTATAGGGGCTTCCCGGGACACCAGCCCCGGCTGAGTATCCTGAGTCCCGTCTTCGGGACACGGAGGCCCTCGTCCTCCAAAGCCCACTGGCTGCGGCAGCGCACGACTGCGGCCCTCGCTCCTGGGGCAGCGCTCCGGCTGGTGCTCCAGAAGCCGCCGCACAGGAAGGGATGGGATGCAAAGCCATGCGGGCAGAGCCCGGGAAGCGCGCCTGGCACCGCGCCAGCCCCTGGCAGCGCGGGAACCCGGGAATTGCACCGGCATCGGGGAACGATTGATTCCCCGGGATCCCCCGGCCGAGAAGATGGAGCCGGGACAGGAGGTACAGCCGGGCGCGATTGCGAGCAAAGGGCCAAGCGCAGCCAGAGCAGCGGGGCCAGAGCCTTCGGAATCACCGGAGTAGAGCGGGAACTCGTGCTGGAGCTCACCCCCGCCCAGAGCCCGACCTGGGCCAGCGCTGGTCCCTCCAGATGCTGCCGCCTGGGACCAGCACTGGGTCTCCAGCGCTATATCCGCTCCCTCCATTCCGGAGACATGGCTCCGGAACCCCCGGCCGAGCGACAGACCCCGAGGCCCGCCCGGTCCCGTTCTGCCCACGCCTGGGACAGCAGCCCCCAGCCCGGGGGGTTCAAGGAGCCGAGGCACCTCCAGGCACGATCTGCCCCCGGAACTGCCGCGGGCGCGCACCGTACCCCGAGCCCCGTAGCAGCCGCAGGACTCACTAGCTTCCGCAGCGCTCCCTCGTCCATCCCGAGGAGGCTCTCCTGGGACATCCTGACCGCCTGGCCCACGCTGCTGCGGCCGGGACTCGGTGGCGGCCGAGACAACAAAGTGCGGCCGGGGCGGCGCGGCCCCGCGCTGGGCTCGACTGCGCTCCCTCCCCTCTCCGCCCCGCCCCCCTTGCTTCGACTCCGCTCCGCTCCCGTTCGTGCTCCCAGCAGCGCCGCAGCCCCACCGCTTTCAGCCGCCACGCCGCTTCCCATCGCCCCGCCCCGCCCCGCCGCCGCCGGCCCGACCGCGCTGGACCTGCGGGTCCCATATCCCGGTGCCCAGCCCTGTCTCGGCACCGTGCACCGGCACCGAGACGAGTCGTCGTGCCGTGCCGCGCCGCTCCGCTCCAGACTCACTCCCGTCCCGGTGCCCAGGCCGGTGCCGGTGTAGCAGAACTCGAGCCTGGCCCGCTTGGGGTGGCACCCCAGGGTGTATCGCTGCCCGTAGAGTGTTCCCGAACCCAGTGTCCCGATTGTTCCCCGGGCGCGGGGACTCCCCACCCGCAGGAGCTGCTGCACCCCCCGGCTTGCGGGATGCGGATTAGAGAGCCACCAGCACCTCCTGCCCAGAGGCCCTCCCCACCAGGCTCGGGAGATCACACCATGGGGTGCCCTACATGCGCTGGGGAGCTGTTTGAGCTGCTCCCTGACACCGCCGCAGGATTAATGCCCCGGGCACCCCCAAAACCCTGGGAGGGTTCCCTTGTCGCCCCCACATGGTCCTACTGCTTGCTCCAACTCAGCAGCTGCTTGTGGTGTCCTTGTCCTTACATCCTGTCCCAGGTCCCAGAAGGCAGTGCCAGGATAGCCAAGCTCTGGTGTCTCGCTGTCGAGAGGTTCCCCTGGAGACCCCAAGCTCCTTACCTGCAGTTGAAGTGAAGCCCTGCTCTGCAGAGGACAAACTTGGGGCTCAATCTTGTTTCTTGGCAAAGGCCAGAAGTATTCCCTGGAGAGGACTAAGGACCAATATAACCCAGAGGTGCTGTGGGCTCTGCAAGGCAGACAGCTACCATCTGCTTCCAGCTCCTAGGTGAGGGGGAGAGGTGCTTCTCCCTGCCTTGACCAGCAACCCAGAGACCAAGGGGCTTCTCCAGAGGAGGTCACGGAGATTAAGTTCACCGTTCTTTTGGGAGTTCCCAGCAATCTGGGAAGATGGATGAGATCGAGCAGGACCACAGCATCATCTGACATAGGGAGGGACCCATCATTGTAGGCTAGAAAGATGGGGTGTGGTAGAGGTGCCTAGAAGGTGCAGCAGTTTTCATACTGAGAGTGTTGGTTCAAATGTCTCACTTCAGGCCTGCTTGGCAGGGTGGGTCTCCAGCTGCACAGGCATCCCAGAGCCTTCTGCTCCCCTAGGTTCCTCAGCAGCTCTCCAGTCTCCAGGCCTGAGCAGCATTGGGCTCCACCGGAGCATGACAGCCCCTGCCCAAGCAACCACGCTAAAGCCAACCTCTCCAAGCACTGTGCCCTCTAACAAAACAGTCAGTCTCAGCAGTAACATCATCTTCACTTGCTGGATGATCCCTGCCATGTCTGCCACAGAGCTGCTACACAGGAGTCTAGGGTCTGCCCTGCCCTGCATTTCTGCTGTCACACAGCCCCTCAGGGACCAGGCATCAGCACACTCAGGGGCCTGCATCACTTGCAACTCTGCTGTCATGTGGGAGCAGGCACTGCCAAATACCCAGCTCCTGGCCTTCAGGCAGCACAGCTGGCAGCAGCTCATCTGCCCTTGGGATATGGGGGGGACCCCACTGCCAACCTTCAGCTGTTGAAGGTTTATCAGGTTTGTTCCCCAGACCCTCTGCCAGCAGCAGCACTGGGCAGGGCAATGGATACTGGTGCGTGGCTGGCAGCATGGATGGTGGCCTTCCCACACGGAGCACTCAGAAGCAGAAGCATGGTGAGCTGTGTGGATAAAGTACCCTTGGGTGCACAGCTCTCAGCATGTGTAGCGGCACTTACCCTGTCTGTGCTCCTACATGTCTGCACCACTCCTGGCTCCATCCCCCCAGGCAGTGAACCTGTCACATCCTCACTGACCCACTGCCACATCCCCAGAGTCACCACACAGTATATGCAGGGCTCCCCAGGGGTGAGGTGGGCATGCAGACCGCCAAGCACAGACTCCCAGCAGACCTCCTTATTCCATGAAGCAAGGAGATATTTACAAATCCCTTGGAGAGCCCAGGGCTCCAGCTCCAGGCCTGGCTCTAGGAGGGCTGAGGGGAGGCTGCCCTGTGCAGAGTGCAGGGTGCAGGTGAGGTGAGGTGAGGGAGTGATCTCACCAGTTTTCAGCAATCACAGTGTGCTGTTGGGTGTTCTGTGCTGACAAAGGTGGTTGTATCACCCAGGAAATGGGAGGAACCTGCACCAAGGGGCAGAGGCCTGGGTAGGTGCACAGATCCTGGGGGCTCCCCTAGCCAGGGGACAAGTGCAACAAGAGGAGAAGGAGTGAGAATCCTTTGGGTTCCTTTTGGGGATGCTAAACATAATGTTAAATACCAGTGATGTAATTTTATTGTGCAAGCACATGTCTGGAACTGGTCTGGGCACCTGCCTGATTCAGGGATGGGACAAGGCAGACAAGGGTAGGGACATGACTGTAGTGCCAGGCAGGGAGAATTCAATCTTATTTGGGGCATAGCCCTTCTTCTGGGCACAGGAGCACAGTGTGGAGCCAGTATTACCCTGCTGTTCTGGCACCACAGACCCACTGGCAGTGCAGGGTCACCCAGGCTGCAGTAGGCAGACGAGGGTCCTGGAATCCATCTCTTCTTCCTCCTGAAGTTTTCCTGGTTTCATGCCTCCTCTCCTGTGAACTTCTGACACCCACAGACCTTTGTCCATCCCACTGTCCGCACATCCAATACTTTGTGACTGCTCCCAAAATCAGAAATTGGCTTGACCTGCCTGGCCTCAATCCCAGAGGAAGCCAGGGAGAGGGGACATGCCACCCAGGTGGATGTTTGGGTGAGGAGGAGGAGAAGAAGAGGAGCAGCAGCAGCAGGAGCAGCAGCAGCAGCAGCATGGTGGTTGAGTTTTGGAGCTCTCAGGCCTACTTTCCAAGGCCCCCCATGGCAGAGTACTCCCCTGCTCCCATCTCCTCTGCACAGGAGAGAAGATCCTCCACCTGCCTGGGGCTGCAGAAGAAGTTGGGCTCCCCCTGCCTCCTCTTCCTCCTCTTGCTCCTGAGAATTGCAGCCTTGGGTGTGATAATGTGCCAAGATCGTCTTTGACAGTAAGTCCCTGGGAACTATGCAGTTTGTTTAGTTCACAGGATAGCATGAAGAGAGGCCAGAGCAGCAGGACCTGGGGTGGATGTAGTGTTGTGCCCTCTGAGAGGTGGCAGGACCTGGGCATGGGCACACCCTAGAGATGGTCCAGGATAAGGGATGTGTTAAGGGCTGCCCTTGGGTGGGGATGGAGGCTGGGCTGCACAGAGTGGCCAGGGTGATGCACAGGAAGGTGTCCTAGGACACACAGTGAAGCTGGAGATCAGTAGTAGCAGCTGGAAGGCAGCAGTATGGCAGCTCTGCTGCAGCCAGACCAGCCACAGGGAACACCAGCCTGCACAGAAATGGTGGCACTTGCTTAGGACAGGACATTCATGCCCAAACACATCTCCATTTCTCAGGTATGATTCACATCCTGCTGGGAGCCAGAGTGATGGATCCCTCATAACCTGCTGCTGGCAGGGGCACTGAACAGCCTCCTACCTGCCCAGGAGTGCTGCTTCATCTGGGATAGGAAAGAGCCATCTGACAAGGAAGGTCCCACTTTTGGGGTGCTACATTGCCCAAGGAGGATCAGTGCTGCCACATACACTGAGGGCTTCAATTGTCCCACTTGGCTGGCCGGTATGGGGACCAGCATGTGGAAAGCACACACCACCCATGAGCTAGAAGCAATTTGCCCCAAATGCGGATCTCGAGGGCTGGATTTCTGTTGTACCTCTTTACCTGCACAGAGGAAGAGAACAGGCAAGTCTATCCATCCATCTGTAGGCTCTTGTCTGTTGCTCATGCTGGTGCAACAGGAGCAATGCTGGTGAGTACCCGGGGGCTCAGCCTGCTTAGGGCATGCACCTGTGCTCTTGGGGGAGCCTCTGCAGAGGGTAGATCCACACCCAGGTAGACCCACACACGAGGTGCTGGGTTAGCACCCTTCCTGCCCATGCCTGCCCTGGTCCAGCTCAATTCGTGCTGTGGGGGTTGCAGCACTGAGGCACTGAGCTCTTGCCCCACCACAGCCTTGGCTTGTAGGAGTTAAAGCCCAGATAAGTGAATCCATTTCCCTCTGCTGACCTTTGGCCCCTGTCCTGCACAGAATCCCCCAAGGATCCGGTGAAGCAAGCACAGTCTGTCCCATTTCCTGCCCTGCCACAGGAGTCAGTGGGTCTATCCTGCAGCACTCCTGTCACAGGAGCCTGGATCTGCTTCTGCTGCAGTGCCTCTGACACAGCCTGCTCCTACCTGGGCACCTCTTGGCCATGAGTTCACCTTGCCTCTGCCTCAGGAAGGAGGAGAGGGAAACACTCTCAGTAACCAGCACTGCAGGAGCCCAGGAGCCCAGGGCACTACACAGCACCCCACAGTGCAGGATGCAACCACAAGCAGGGCACCATGACCACGAGGAGCAGAGGGTGCCTGCAGGCTGAGGCTGCCAAGGAAATAGCATCTGCTCAGGACATGACTCCCCAGGCTGCAGTCTGTTCTCTGGCAGTGGGCCCAGAGGACTAGAGTGCTTGAAAACGGGCAGGGCCTCGGTGTCAGCATCTCCATCAACCACAGGGCTGCCAGCCTGCAAAGAAGAGTGGAACCTCCCTTCCCTTCTGGATATTGGCATTTACAAATGGATCTGTGCATGGTCCAGGCTGAGCGCATGGTCCCTGTCCTGCTGCACAGCCACTGCTGCCAGGGCCTGCAGAGGCACTCTGTGGCATCTGAACTTTCCACGGAGCTGTGCCTCTGCTTAGATGGCACTGGTAGGCTGCAGAGTTTCCCCTCCAACCTGGCCAGACCTTCAAATATCCTTT